CGTAGATGCCATTTCTCTGGGGCTCTTCTTGAAGAATTTGTGATCGAAAGTGTCGTAATTATCGATGAAGTTCCCGTACCATTGGCGTTTGTCTGCTTCTCTCCATGCCGTCGCCAGGCTGAACCGATCCTCAAGCACCTCTTTATGTTGTGACTGGCCACTTTTTAGGATCTCCCAGAATCCCTCGTGGTCTTCAGCACCTGGAAGCTGACACCCCATTCCAATAACAGCTATGCGCTCATCGGGCAAATCTTCGAGGCTAGGCGTTTGCGTTCCACCAAGAACCTGGCAGGGCAACCGTGACGATACGAGGTCAATTTGGGATACGTATGTCAGGCGTAGGCCAAGCTTCCGTGCAATCGTCGGTGATACGAACCGCTCTGACCCAAAACAAATAACCGCTGCATCTTTGATAATGAATCTTGCCGCATACGCGATAAAGCATGTTTTGTACCACTGGGACTGTTCCAAGAGAATTTCCCGCAAAGCTACCTCGTGGAGCTTTCCAGTGCTAATATATTGCCCATCGGCACCTGATCGACTAGGGAGTAGCATCTTTGTCGTATCGGCAAATTGCAAAGCTGGTTGAATTTCGCAGAACTGAAGGAGACTAGATACGGCATCTTGGTGCTTCTTCCAGTGGAATCGTCCCGAAAGCGCTATTGGCGTGACATGACCGCCTTCCTGCTTCAACCGCTCGATCAGAGCTGGCGCCGCTTTCTTCGATGCGGTCAATGTTGCACGTCTCTGGTCAACAAGAACGGAAACGTATGCCTAAAGGATTTCAATTAGTGTTTTGCTGTGGTGTGAATACGAGTCGTCAATACATACATCAGGGAATGTCTCGAGGATATGGGCAAATGAGTCACCGAATTCGGCACTGTTCCATGACACTGAAAGACTCGTTGCCTTTCTTTCTGGGTCAGATAACGCCTCTTCAGCATCAACGGTGGCTCCGACCAACATTGCCAGTCTCACGCCTACCGCGCCGTAGTGTTGAATATCGGCCACATTGCAGGAACATGCCACTGCTAAAGCACTCAGGGTGCCGGTGCAGAGGCCTAACGTCTCTGTATCCTCCATAATGGACTTGGGCAGTTCCTCCTTCTCCCCTAGATGTGGAAACGCCGCCCTGAGAAAAGTGATGTGTTCAATCACGTGTCCTATGACCACAAGTGGGGATAGAAGCACATTTGGCAAAGGAAACGCTTCCTCCGGGGCAGTCGTACTCAAAACCCATGCATTCAGGTTCTCAAGTAGCTTCCCCGTGTTAGATTGCTGTGCCGCCCGGTCACCGGCGGTAAAGTTGTCCCAGAGCTTTGGGAGGCCGGCGAGTGCGTCAAGGGCCCAATGATGGTCATGGAGCTGGCTGCAAAGCTTTTTGAAGGATTCGATATCGAAAGATAAATCTTGCGGGCCGAATATAAAGGCCTTAGGTCTCAAGTGTGGATGAGAAGTTGAGTCAGGCATGACTGATACCTGCATTTGAAGCTGGTCGAGAGAAGATGAATTCTAATGTTGAAAAGAATAGAGCACTGGGAGGTATACCACACAAGCACGGTATACGATGTGATGAGAGGTAGTTTCGTGATCTCCTATATGGCAACAATTCTAGGTATATATGACACTGAGACCTGGATGAAGTACCCAGTGTACTTCAAGGTTCCCTGCACATGTGTCAAAATCAACTGAAAGGCTTATACTGCAGCTACAACACCACATTATTCCGAATAGTTAGTCCGCATGCATACCATTCCGTCTTCAGATGTCGATAAACTTCTGTTGACATGCACCACATCTGTAATCTACCGCCATGTGCTCCGTAGGCTTGGTAGACAGGCCTTGGCCGTAGAAATTCTTCACAATTTGCTTTGAAGTAGTGAAGTTACTCCGAGGAATTAATCCGATATATTGTATCTTACGCCACCAAAAGACAGCAGTCAGTGAGGTATACCCGAGATCTAGGCTAGTGTGCAAAAGTACGGCAGGATCCGTAAGAGTCAGCTTTAGCCCTGAAGGCATACCCAGCACGTGTTCTTTTTCAATATTCTTACTGCTATTTGACGAAATACGACATTGTGGCTATGAATAGAACACCATCTTCGGATGCGATTCGGATGCGAGTATGTAAAGGCTGCACCTACTTATGCACGTGTGATGAATAGTGGTCTCCGTCAAGTATATACTCGGAAAAACAAACGGCAGAGCGAACAATATCATGCAGGTAAGCCTTGAAAATGTTACTATAGCCGAGTGTGCCTAATCTCCCTTGGCGAAAATTTTGAACTTTCCGAGCAGTGGCTCGTGTTATAGTGGGAGTGTTGCTTGTAACTCCAGGATTTATCTTGACAAGCCCAGGTCCAAATGCTGTGATATCGTTCGAATGAACCAATTGGTAAAGCACCTAGGAAGCACCATTTACACAACCTTTGAATATCTGAATATAGTGTCTCTTTATGCAATTATTTGTGTAGCAATGGATTCCAGAATTCCTCTAACACTTGTGCCATTCCAAACAAATCATATCTACATAATTTATCCCGCAATGAATTCCAACGTAGTACCAGACTAGTGGGCATTCGTCTGCATTGCAATTTCTCGAATCTGATAGGCAACGAGCGAGACATCGTTGGACTTCAGCGGAACCCGATGATCACCATCCCACTCTACCAGCCTCTTACTTTCCGGGGCACAGAACTCTTCAAACAGCTGACGGTGAAGATCCACATGCGGGTCTAACATCCCATGGACATGTACGGTGGGGATGCGTAGAACGTCCTGGCTCGGACCGTGGTACTTTGCATCCGTAATCTGCGACACATCAGGCAAAGATGAACCCATATCTAAATCCAGATCCAAGCATACTAACGGCGCACGGCCAGCCAACAGAACTCCAAAACGATAGTCCGAACCGGCGAACGGTCGTCCGAGTAGTTCCTGTCTGATTTGTTGACGGTAGAGGAGACTAGCGCAGGTCTTCGCGCCTTGGCTAAATCCAAGCAGTCCCACCCACAATCCTGTAGCTCCTTTGGCGTCATCTTGACGCTTTGCGTCCTCCACACTGTCGTCGATCGCTCGGATGGCATCTTCCGGTCGGATATCACGGTGGTCGGGGCGCCAACGGAGCCAACGCCTGAATGGACCCCATTGACTGTACACCGACATCACATCATGCCCAGCGTCAGATAAAAATGGTCCTTGCGCGAAGACAAACCGGAACTCGGATCTTAGTTGGGCAATAAGCCGGCGGCACTGGGATTTGAAGATGATAGCATTAGACCCCCCGCCGTGAAAACAAAGGATTCGTGGAAGATGTAAAGTGTCATCGACTGCCTCGAAATTTGTCTCGACCATTATGGCAAGAGGGTATCAAGGCTTAGTAGGAGTTATGAGCTTGCCCCAAACAAGAGCTTCGGGGTGTGGAAAGCTTAACAGGGAGCACTGAGCAGATATAGTACAAAGCCAGTGAGCGAGGCCTAATCTACCTTTCCACAATGCAAGATAAGCGTCAAGGGCACCCAATACCAATGGAGACTAGTTGCATTTTGGAATCCTGCTGGATCCTTGAAGGATTTTCCGATAGAGAATATCCGATAGCCTCGTGGATCTGAGTTGTTTCTCCGACGGGAGCAGACCATTCTGGCAGACATTTCAATAAGCCGTTTCGACCGATGATGACCACGAAATAGCACGGAAAATGAGTCTATATAGAAAGCAACCACTGCACTAGGCCAGGTTCGTTGTTTTCTCTTCTTCCATAGCCTGAAGGAGTACCTTCGAACAGTTCGATAATATGCCCGTACCAACCAAGTCATCCTTCTATTTACCGGCTGTCGACATCAGTCCGTATCTGCAAGACCCGAATAGTGATGGCGGACGCAAAGTAATCGACAATGTGCGAGCTGCATGCACTTCTACTGGCTTCTTCCAACTCCTCGGGCATGGAATATCCCCGGAACTGCAGCAGTCCGTCTTTGCTGCTACAGCCAAGTTCTTTGCACTTCCCACCGACATAAAATCAAGTTGCAGGAACGTCGGCTTCCGAGGGTACGACCCCATGGCATCGCAATCGTACGAGCCGGGAGTACTCCCAGACCTCAAAGAAGGCTTCATTTCTGGGACAGACATTCCTCTCGACGATCCACGAGTGATAAGCCGGAGGTTTTTCATGGGACAAAACGCATGGCCGCCGGGCGAGCTACTGCCAGAGACAGACTTCCGTCGTCCCGTAGAAGAATACTACCAAGCCATGACGAAGCTGTGCTGGGCGGTGTTAGACCTTGTCGCGGCCACGTTGCCGTATGGGCCCCATGTCTTCGACGAATTCAAGGAAAATGACCCTGCGTGCCCGCTTCGACTGCTTCACTATCCACCCACTCCTGCCCCAGACGTGGTCAAGGGTCGTCAGCTGGGCAGTAGTGCCCATACGGACTTTGGAGCCATCACACTTCTTCTGCAAGATCACCATCCCGGGCTTGAGGTCCAGGACCGCGAAACGGGGGACTGGATTGGGGTTCCTCCGAAAAGTGACGCTTATGTGGTTAATCTGGGAGACATGATGAGCAGAATCACCAGGGGTCATTACAAGAGTAGCATTCACCGTGTCATCAATAAGAACTTGACAGATCGGTACAGTGTAGTGTTTTTTTTCGATGGCAACCTGGAATATAAATTGCGGCCGCTGGATCGTGTTGGGCAGGATCAGGACGAAGAAAATGTGCTCACTGTGGAGGAGCACATGTTGGAGCGTACGACCACCACTTATAACACCAAGGCAAAGTGATCTTACCAACTTCTCGAGTACTTGCTCTGTTCTCTGTTCTCTGTTCTCAGGGGAAATCAACATATATTTCAGCCTTTCCCAATAATGATCAATGCGAGCTCAATAATTTCTTCATTCGATCAGTATTTGTATATATTATCCAACAGCCATCCGTATAATCACGATGAAGTGGAGTTTTCTTTAACCAAGTCAATCGACGCATTAGTACATGAAAGTTCTAGAAGATGTATATAGCTTTGAGTTGGATCGTTAGGATTCTTGAGTTGACGAAAAATCTGTAGAAGCTCTTGAAGTAGCGAGTTAAATGCCGCGTCTGACCCTCGATTACTGTAGAGGAATTCGGCGCAGAGTAATAATGGGATGGGCATGAGAGGATGGACCTGCTCGTTTTATAATTAGTACGTTCGCGGTGCGTAAAGATATTCATGTCCCAAGTCGACTGAAGTAGTAATGCAGTGTGGCATACCTTGAAGAAGTAGAACTCTATCAGTCCTTTTGCTTGCTTGACGATCTCCTGCGCTGCACTTAGGGCACGCCGCCGATATTCTAATACTAATGCTCCCTCGTCGACTGCCCACACAATCGATTCCATGCCCTTGTATAGATGAATCACACTTGCCTGTCCCATAATGTGTGCGAACGAGAGCATCGGGTCGCAGACTTGAGTTGGCGAGGGGTAGTGTTGGGAAAGGATCTGAAGACGGTTGGTAAGGACGTTGTCCAGCCATTGGTGCTGATCGGTCCAGTTGGGAGCTATGTCGCCATACACAAAGCGGACACTGTATTGCTGGGCCTGAAATAGGCTGCGCCCGCATATGGTAGCCAAGATGGCGCATTCGTTAAATGGCGATGTTGTCTGCGGCATAACGTCCATGATCGCTTCCGAAAGGAAGGCACCTAGCACCGGTTGACCGTTTTGGAATTCCATGTCTGGAGCTGGAAGACGGGTGCAGATCTAGTCATAGATTATTAGATCAGCTGAACCATTTGGTTTTGTCTTGATGTGTAAGGAGGATATCGAAGCCCTACCACATGCTCGTTCAAGGTGATCGGCCAATTATTACGCATGCTAAATAAGTGATCCAAGAAGTAGGCCGTCCAAAACACCCGGCGCTTTTCCTCTGTCTCGATCAGGTCTGCATCGGCTACAGGGGGTTTTGTAGGACTGTCGATTTCGTGCAGTCGCATTAACTGAACCAGACGAAAGGCGCGTCCGGCACTCATCCACGCAGGGCGATGGAAAGTCCGCATTGACTCATACGTTGCTATCAAAATCCATGCTTGAATCTCTTCTGTGTCAACCAAATTATCAGAGTCTCCCGATAGATAGGAGAATTCTAAAGTCCGCTTTGTTTCCTGGTAGAAGGAGTCTTGAAGATGTTGGAATTGCGCGGACAGGAGGGGAGGCCAGTGTCCATACCGCGTACTGCAGACATCGACGAGATATCTTCTTTGAGGCGCTTCTGGCCCATCCTAAATAACGACGCTGGTGAAGTATCTGGACGGATGGGTGCACTCGGTCAAAATATAGTTGATTTCTAGCACAACCATCAGCCATAACCTTGCAATGAGGGGCGTGAGCCACTCACAATTCCGCCTGCATGAACTCTGATATCGGCTCGATCCCACAGATATCTTTCCCGTACATGCCCACTGACGGAGCCGAACCGAACGTCGACATCGAGTTCAATATGGATACATCTGGCTCGGAGACGGTTGTACTTTCCATGATCAACGGAGGCGGATTTGAGTCGGAACGGCTCGACACGCTAGAGACACTCCAGCCATCATGGTGGTCGTCGTTCAAGGGAATTGACAATGGGTTGGGCTCAGGCAAGGGCCCGGGGTGATGCTGGGTCGGTAGACGATTTTCGAGCATTGCTAGGATAGATCTCAGTTAAATCCAGCGTAATAACAGTCTGCAGACATCGCATATATACCGACTCGATTTCTCAATGCCTTCAAGTAGCCCTTCTTCGGGCCCCTCGGCTGCCGTTGGCTATTGACTTCGCATGTTATACCTGCTTCCACACAGACCCCGCACCGCGGTTGCAGTGCATCACATCGTAGCTTGCGTCGCCGGCACTCCTCACATGCTCTTCCTGTTCGTTGTCGCTGTCTGGTAGGTTGGGAGGTATGTGTAAGTGATGTGGGAGCCATCTGATGAGAGAGCATTCTGGGATGCGAACAAAGCAATGTTGTGAGGTCTCGAGTTCCAACAAAGCCAGATCACCTGATCAGATCAGTTAGTGTAGGGAATCTTAACGCAATTTCTTCAATCTCCTTTGACGTGTTACATTCCCATTCACAAATCTCTTTGTTCTCCAATATCCATCAAACTATATTGCACCGTGATTATCTAAACAAGAGGGGAAATGCCAGCACCATCGATGTAACTATGAGGCGTTGGGGCGTTGGGGCCAAAATTACGTACCTCTCCAAATTACCCGTGAACTCCGTACGCATCCACTAGTTAAGCATTACGATAGTTATCTACTCCGTAGTGCTTACTGGTTAGTTCTTGATCCCGCTCACCTTGGTACACCCGGGCAGTCCACCCGTAGCCTCCAGGGCTCCACCTGGGGGGTATCATCGTGTGCTTATATAAGCAGACATGAAGGCACCTGGGCCACCAGCATGTTTATCAAATAGACGAAGGGCCTATATACCTGGGCATATTGTAATGAGAAGGATCAGGGAATCGCGGAATCAGGGAAGGATATGCGTCTGGGGACTTGGAAGGATTCATTGCTTCAAATATTCAAGCAAATCCTTCCGTTGCCAATTTAATCCAATTACCTATCAGAGATCGCTACTTGCATACATCCACTGCGCCACCCCAAGCTGGTATTGGGCCCAGACCACTAGGGAAGCGGACGTTTTTGATCCGACTCCATTCCCTCAAGGTGCCAATCCAATGCTCCCTTCCATATCCACTGCCCTTGACGCCACCAAATGGCGTGCCCAAAAGGCCGCGGAAGTAGTTGTTGATCAGTACAACCCCAACGTCCAATTTCCGAGTGACCCGCATGGCCCGACTAAAATCTCCAGAGTATACCCCTGCAAAAAGGCCATATTGGGAAGAATTAACGATGTTCACGGCTTCCTCCTCCGTTTCAAAAGAACCAACCGTCACAACAGGCCCAAAGATCTCCGTCTGTGCAATGCTCATTTCCGCCGTCACGTCCGTAAATAACGTAGGAGCGACAAAGAATCCTCCCGACAGATGGCTTGCCGTGGGCAGGTCTCCTTGGGCAGATAGAGTCGCTCCCTCACGTTTACCTTGCTCAATATATGACAGGATCTCCTGCTGGCGCTCCCGAGAGACCACAGGACCGACGTGCGTCGTTTCGTCGAAGCCATCGCCTGTTCGTAGTTTTTTCACAGCCGTTGTCAGGCGAGTGACAAGGATCGGATACAGATTATTGTGCACCAGAATCCGCGATGCGGCGGTGCATGATTCGCCCTTGTTGAAGAAAGCACCATCGATAGTGTCGCGCACGACCAACTCGAGGTCGGCGTCCTCGAAGACCACAAAGGCATTCTTCCCACCCAATTCAAGCACCGTGGGGGTCAGCGTCACCGCTGCAGTTTGAGCAGCCTTAGAACCCGATACGGTGGATCCTGTCAGCGAGGCCATTTTGACAAGGGGATGATTTATCAAGGCCTTCGGGATTTCAGGACCCAGTCCCGGAACTGCTTGAACAACGTCGGCGGGGAACACAGACTGCAGGATCTCAACAACCCGCATGAGCGTCAAGGGGGCTTGCTCGCCGGGCTTTAGCACCATGGTATTGCCCGCTGCTAGACATGGCGCCAGTTTCCCCCCTGCGTGTACCGGGGGCCAGTTGTATGGTAAGATGCCCACGCACACTCCATGGGGCTCATAGATCACGCTAGAGTAGATATTTCCTTGGTCGAAAAATTCCGAAGGTAACTTGTCGGCAATCGATCCGAAGTATCGGAATACTTGCACTAAAAACGTGATATCAAAGGAAGCGTCTTTCACGGGTTTTCCGTTCTCGAGGCACAACAAGACGGCCAATTCATGGCTGTGCTTCTGAATCTCGTCGGCCGCCTGTAAGAGGTAGAGTGACCGCTCCCGTTGAGTCTTCCACCGCCATGACTCGAATGCCTTTTGTGACGCCTGGATGGCTCCATCCACTGTGTCCATATTTCCGGCCTGGATGACAGTTATGGGTTCTCCAGTCGCAGGATTAACCAGTGTAAAGCGCTTAGAAAGGTCCTTGCAGGACCAGTCATATTCGCACACTCCAGGAAGGGTTTTGAGGATTTCAGTTGCTGTTTCGGCCATTTTGTTTCATGTGCTCTAGAAGGCTCCAATCTCGGGGTGGTTTGTTTACTTATAGCTCGACGACATTTATTAGTACAGCGTTTGCGGAAAAGACAAGTCCCCCAGCGAGCCTTGCCTGAGGAGGTTACTATCCGTTTCTGGTGGAGTTCAAGCAATCTGGTCAATAACACGCAATGATCCTCCGGGTCATCTCTTCGGTACGCCCCTTACTCCGTGCTATCTCCACCTACTATTTCCGGCTACTACTTCCGACTACCCTCTCCCTACTTCAGAATCCAAGCCGTTGGAAGGGTTTAGGTCGACCTACGAGCCGGTCTTGGCCAACTCCAAGTCAATTTCACAGAACCATAGCCTGATTTTGATATTGAGCCTTTCTAACAGGAAGATTTCACCCTGCTCTTACAAACAGCATACCTCCAGGTCCTTTGCGGTCTTGCAGGTCCATCTCGCAATGATTTCTCAAAAGCACTGCTTCCCACAACTCACTTGTTGTAAGTGTAGATGGCAAAGTTGTTGCCCTCACTATCTTCAAAGTACTGGAACAGCCCCTTGTCGCCTTCGGGGATAACCTCGCTCGCCTTCTTGCCTCCGTTCTTTTCAATGGCCTAACATACATTAGCCGATCAGTCTCGCGTCTCAATATCCAAGTCACTTACCTCAAGGGCAGCAACGATGTCATTGACATAGAGATATAATTTTGTGGCGCCCGTGCCGGTTGGGATTTCTTCCACCAGGCGCATGGCACCTCCGATGGGCATAATGCCACCAGGGACTTCAAAGGTTTGGAGCTTGTGCGCGGGGAACCCCATGGTGGAAATAGCAAAGGTCCAGTTGAAGACCGCCTTGTAGAATGCAGCTCCTACGAAGGATTAGCTTCGGTTTTTTGTCGGATATTTAGAACCGGGACAACTTACCGCGAGCCACGTCCTTCGCAGGGATCTCAAGCCCCACGGGGGTACCAACAGGAGGAATAACAGACATAATGCCGAGGGGTAAGATTGAAAATCAATTGGTGTGTTAGTTGAAAGAAGATTTTGATGATTATCGAGTGAATCTGATCTACTTGAGGCCGCTTTTTATACGCCAGTGTTCCCCATCGACCCCTTTATGCTCCATGCTCTGTGCCATCACAATCATCGGTGTACCTAGGTAGCTACTCCGTACTCCATAGTCATTTCCATGATGAACGATCCTATCAATTGGCTGCATTCTGATTAGCAATCTTGCTTCTTTGTTCGATTCAAGACCAGAATTTATCCGAGTCGGGTGCGGAATATCTCGCTCGGGTCTCTTTTATCCGAATTCATCATGCGATCCAGTCCGACTCCCGAGGTCTACTCCCTCCACGAGACATTGCATTAATAATATCACTCGAAATATATTGCATCTCCATGTACTCTGCGATACTGGAGATAATCCAGACGTGATACTCCGGGGATCCATGATCACTGCATATGTGGGCTTTCACAAACAGCTTCCAGCAAGAAGTACGACTCATGCACCGTAGTCGGCTCTATGTTGTATATAAAAACACGTAAAAACGCATGTCACACCACTGATAATCCAGGTCACATTGCAACGCAAGCATAATGGCTTTTCCACCCTCCGCTGGTACGTCTCACATCGTTGTCCTTGTCCAATTTGTGGTAGAGAAAATATCTCATTGCTAACTTCTATATAAATAGGATTTACTTGGATCTCCAAAATACACAATGACACCTATCCTACCATCACAGCGGCCAGATGTAAGCAGCATGGACGAGCTGTCTTCGTGACCGGTGCATCGAAGGGCATCGGCCGCGCGATAGCGATTGCATTCGCTCAAGCCGGTGCCTCCTTCATCGCACTCGGAGCAAGATCCTCCCTCGACGCAGTTGAGACAGCGGTGCTCGACGCTGCAAAGTCTTCAGGCCATCCACCACCTCATATCCTCAAGGTGGCGCTAGATGTTTCGGATGAGCAGAGTGTGTCCGATGCAGCCGCCGAGGTCAAGCGAGCGTTCAGCTCTCTCGACATCTTAGTTAACAATGCCGGTCGCGTTGAGAAATGGGTTCCACTTGCGGAGACGGATCCCAAATCTTGGTGGTCGACATGGGAGGTCAATGTAAAGGGCACATACCTCGTGACGAGGGCCATGCTGCCCCTGCTTTTGTTAGGGGGCGAAAAGACCATTATCAATATGAACTCCATCGGCGCCCACCTGACTCGGCCCGGTGCCTCGGCCTATCAGACCGGGAAATTAGCGATTTTGCGCTTGACGCAGTTCACTTCTGTTGAGTACGCTGCTCAGGGAGTTTTGGCCTTTACCATTCACCCGGGCGCCGTGGATACCGAGTTAGCGTCGAGATTGCCCGAGGACACGAAAGCAAAGCTGGTGGATTCGCCAGAATTAAGCGCCGATACAATTGTCTGGCTAACTCAGGAAAAACAGCTTTGGCTGGCTGGACGCTATTTGAGTGCCACCTGGGATGTGGCAGAGTTGATGGCTCGGAAGGAGGAAATTGTCCAGGGCGACAAGCTTAAGGTCAAGTTGGTTCTGTAGATAGATCAGAATAACAACCTTCTTTTCCATGTTGAAGTGACCGAGAATCCTTTGACCCGATGGAATAATGTATACCCATAGTTGGCCCCCAACCCTCCCTTGTCTAAATCGGACGTTTGTAATTTGCTTCCTATAAGAACTACGACTTTTGCCACCACCTACGGCCATAAACCAAATCTTGTCCTCCCCCAAATTAATCTCCTAATGTCTCAAAAATTGGAAATCATGGCCACAGACAAGCTTGTCGATTTTATCCAGACACCCTTTGACTTTCTCATCGTCGGCGGCGGAACTGCCGGTCTCGTCCTCGCAGCTCGTCTTTCTGAGGAACCAAGCATTCAAGTCGGGGTAATCGAAGCTGGCTCCCTTAGGCTGGGGGATCCCAAGGTCGACCTTCCCACAGGACCGGGCCAGATGATAAGCAATCCTGACTATGACTGGAACTTTGAGAGCATCCCACAGGTGCGAGACCTCGCAATTTCATAATGAGCCTGTATTGACTCCTCGCAGGCTGGCACCAATGGCAAATCCTATCATATTCCTCGAGGAAAAATGCTAGGTGGCTCGAGCGGCATCAACTTCATGTCTTATAACCGGCCATCTGCCGAAGACATTGATGATTGGGCCAATAAGCTTGGTGTCACAGGGTGGACATGGTCTGAACTACTACCGTACTTCAAAATAAGTGAAGGCTTGGAGCCCGTCAAGCCCAGTACAAGTTGTCCAGTGGAGCCCAAGGTCCATGGCACCGATGGGCCAATACACACTTCGATAGGCCCCTGGCAACCGCTAATAGAAGAATCAATTTTGGCTGCGTTTGATGAAACCTCTCGCCTTCAGCGGCCAGTCGAGCCCTACGATGGTACTCATTTGGGCTTCTACAGGTCCTTGTTTACACTGGACAGAACCAGCAAACCAGTTCGAAGCTATGCGGCCAGCGGTTATCTTGCTCCCATTATGGGTCGCCAAAATCTGAAAATCCTTGAAAACGCACAGGTGTGCCGCATCCTACTCTCCGATGCTCCAGATGGGACACCCACTGCAGAAGGGATTGAATTGCAGCACATGGAGGCTCGCTACACCGTCTCAACTAAAAGAGAAGTCATACTCAGCGCCGGGTCTATCCAGAGTCCCCAGCTTCTAGAGCTTTCTGGAGTTGGAGACCCTAGTGTCCTCGAAAGCGCTGGGATTGCTTGCAGAGTGGCTATCACGGACGTGGGCAATAATCTACAAGAACACACGATGTCAGCTGTATCTTATGAGCTCGCGGATGAAATTATATCGGTGGACTCCTTATTCAAAGATCCTGCCTTGCTACAAGAGCATCAAAGGCTCTACGCCGAAAACCATTCCGGAGCCTTGTCTGGATCGGTTAGTCTAATGGGCTTTACTCAATACTCATTACAATCCACCGAAACCCAAGTGAACGACACTGTGGCGCGTATCTTCGACGCCCCCAGTCTGGGCGGCGAACGGTTTCAGCAAAACGCCAGTTACCAGCGCAAGCAACAGGAGGCTATTGCCGGCCGGATGCAAAATTTCCAGTCCGCGGATATCCAGTTCATTGGCACCCCCGCGTATTTCAACACCACTGCCGGGTACAGAAACTGCGCCAAGATCGCATCTGGCTCTCCTGTCGGCTACAACGCATGCTACTCCATCGTCGTCAGCAACATGTATCCTTTATCTCGCGGGAGTGTACATGTGCGGACCTCGAATCCAATACAGGCACCGGAGATCGATCCGGGATTTCTTCGTCATCCCGTGGATGTTGACGTTCTTTCCTCTGGTATTGTATTCGCAGACCAAGTGTTCCAGTCGACCTCCCTAATCGGCAAAATTGGTCGGCGAGTGAGCCCCCCTGCTAAGCTCAATCTGTCGAATATGGACGAAGCTCGCCAATTTGTTCGCAATCACATCGTGTCCTATCATCATGCTTTAGGAACTTGTGCGATGGGGCAGGTGGTGGATGAGAAGCTGCGGGTAAAGGGGGTTCGGAACCTTCGTGTTGTTGATGCCAGTGTCATGCCGATGCAGGTCAGTGCCGCGATCATGGCTACTGTGTATGCCATTGCAGAAAAAGCGTCGGATATTATCAAGGAGGACGCTGGGTTTGGCACTCGGTCAAGTGCTCGTCTGTGAGCTGGATTTTGTAGATATATTTATAATAGTTCACGTCTCATGCTTATTCCGATCTTTTCCGCTCCAAATCGAGTACCTCATTGCAGCTGCATTCATATTATAAAAAATGGATGAATCTCAAGAGGTTCTAGTGTAAATGAAGTGTCAAATTACAAGGTTGCATACATGGGATGATACCATGGAAGATTATGTAATCATGCTTAGTAATTACCGCACAGAAACAGCAGTTTCTGTCAAATTGCAAGGTTGCATACATGGGATGATACCATACAGATTATGTAATCTAGCTTAGTCATAACCGCACAGAAACAGCAGTTTCTATTATGTAGAAAATGCAGAGTTCTCCATATCAGCCCTAAGGTCCATACATTTCAATACGTCAGATTTCTGTCAGTTATGAGCCCGGCTTTGTTCCATTAATCAATTCAAAGATCAACCCTGCTTCCATCGATACTAAGGTAGTCAAAGTGACAGAAGAGAAGTCATCTACCTAGCGACGAAGCAACCCCTAAATCAAAGAAAGAATCGGAAATCTGTTAATAACAATTATAGCCGATTATCTCTCCGCGGGTCTATCCTCCCGCGTTATTCTTAAGGATACCGAAACTTAGGATATATAGATCGCTAATATCGAATCGATTATAGTGCAATTTGACGTTTAGGAGCTATATAATCCTAGTAAGGAAAAAGAACCGGAGATACGGAAAGCTCCGGTAGAGATTATATCGATTGAAGAAACGGAGAAGAAGTATAGCGACAAATAGGTCGATATTTATAAAGTGATTTAATCGAACTAGTCGATAAAGAACACGCTTTATACCTAGGAAAAGAAGGGGTTAAGTATAATTATAATAGTAATCCGGAATAGCGTTTACGTAAACTTCTAGCCGTTTATTATAGACTATAAGACTCTATATAGTCTACTCCGAAACCTTTAAGAAAGGTTCGCCTCGGAGTATAATCCGACCTATTCTACTAGGCTCCGTTAATAATAGAGAAGCCTAGATAGAGGGTTAGATAAAAATACTAATATTAATAAATAGTTATTAAACTAGGAGATAATTTAATTAAGCTATAAAAGAGTAGTGTTGGAGTCACGTGACGGCCATGTGGGGCCGCAGGTGATCCTGACCCACAGAACTCAGGATAATGGTAGACAGTAGCTAGTTTTTCTTCTCTTCTTTTCTTTCTCTCCAGAGTCTACAATATTAATCCCTTAAGGTTAACATTCATTCCTACATAGCCTATATTCCATCTGATAGGTTATAAGCCCTTGCTCGTACGACTCCGAGCATCT